TTGCCAAGTCCATATTTATGTTGTCAACATTTCTCCCTCGTTTTTTCTGATTTGCCTGGCTGGAATTGGAGCCCTGGAAGAGAAGGCGTTATGGAGGGTACTATCATCCGCAAAGCTGTGTACTGGACATGAAGTTGCTTCCAACAAATCGTTGATATGGAGTAAAAATAGTGTTGGTGCTACAATTGATCCTTGCGAAACACCAGCATTTATGATAAGAGAGTCAGATGAAACTCCGTTGACCACTACATGGAGGGACCTGTTTGAGAGAAAACTAGCTAGTAGAGAACATAGCTGGGGAGGCAAGCCATAAGATGGAAGCTTGGCGAGGAGTCCGTGGTGCCAGACTCGATCGAATGCCTTGGACATATCAAGTGCCACGGCTAAGGTTTCACCATATTTTCCAATAGATTGCTGCCATATATGTGAGACGTAAGCGAGCAGGTCACCAGTTGATCTCTGATGACGGAAGTCATATTACCTATCGTTGATGATATCTCAAAGTTCCAGGTATTTCATGAGCTCTATGTTGGCAGCTTTCTCCATGATCTCTGATATAATAGATAGCAGTGCGATCGGTCTGTAGTATACATTACAACAGTTGCTAGGTAGGGTCTTTTTGCCATTTTAAAGAACTAAAGGAACACTAATAATTTATATTGAACTCACAACTACTATTTATGTAAAATAATTTGTACCACGTGACACTCGCTGCTTGACTGACTGACGGCAGTTGTTCGTCCGGCCGTCCTTATATATATGAGATCCCTTGGTAGGCTCTGCTTCTCGAACCTTCTCGAATGATCTCCCGTACCCTTCTCCCTGTTCTAGAAGCTTCTTAGAACAATGCCTCTCTCTCTAATCGTTCCATCGATTGTTTCCAGAACATTTCAGAACCTTCTCGTGTGTGAAATAGACTGGTACATGTAGGAATCATTGAAATACGTGTTACAGGATGTTCGTTCGTGCCTTCCTGATGATGTTTCTAGAGCCCCTCCAAGGGCAATATCATCACATAATATATATTTTTCATTAATCTAGACAGATTGGAAATGATTGATGAATATGGCATACCAATTTTTGAGTTTTTGATCCAGATCTAAGTTGCAAATTAGAAAACTTCTAATGTGAGGCCTACGTAAGTCACCTTGCACAAGGCAGAACACATCTTCGAGGTATCTCAATCTATTAGCTCGAATCATTCAGTATGTAAAATGTGGCAGACGAACAATGTGTGCCATTCATTTTTTTTATCAATTAATTAATGAAAACATCCTGTAACTCATTTGATTGCCAATTGTCACTGAGAACTGAAAAGTTTCAAGACAGATACGACTTTGCTATTCAAATAACCATTTTTTATGTTGAAAACGGGAGCAGATTCGGTCCCGAAACGTCCAAAGATAAGTGAAAATTTGATATTTTTTCTATATACCTTTGTTTCTCTTCTCCAAACTTTTTTCAATACAAATTTTCACTGACAAGCTAGTGAATTTTTCTTCCAGGCTCTCTGATAGGAAAATTCTTTGAACGCAGTGACATTTTGGGGCAAATCATCTGATTTGTCCTCACTACACGTATATTGAGATAATATTCATATTTTTAGTTTATAGAAGCGAGGAGAGAAAATCCCAAAAAATTTGGAAACATGAATGTACCTTCCCTCGATTAACCTACAGACAGTATTTAATGTGTGCCATATTTATCCAGAAAACCGCGCGATGTCTAGCCAAATTCGCGTAAACCTATTATCGCTTAGCCTGGAGCGCGGCTCGCTTGATAGCGGTGCCAGATTTCGATCCAGATAAATCCCTAGTTGAACAAAGGGCCATTCATGGCCTGAAACGATTCCTGATAACGTGGAGCTATTATCCAAGATATCCGCCGGTAGCGATGACTTTTATTATTTCATGGAGACCGCTATTTTCATGAATGACAACAGTGATTCGATAAACAGGGTGAACTCGAGAGAGAAGCATTTTGGAAAAAATGAATAAAAAACCTCATTGAAAAGGAATATTCTCAGATAAATTATGAACATGAAAACATGGAAATACATTGGGACTTCGCATTCTTTATGTGATGAAAGTATCAATTCTTTCTCGGTTTATTCAGCAGAAAACAACTAATTTCCTGGCCACGACGAACATTGAATTATATCTTCTGTAGTAGTCCATAGTCTTTGGATCGACATTTTGTTATCAGAATTTTTGATTTAATAAAAATTTTGTTTTTTCACTTTTTCACTTTTCACTCATCAATTACTAATCAATTATTATTGTTATACTTATAAAAATCACCATTGCTCTTTTATCCTACTGAAATTTGTTAGGTAATTCAATTTTGCATTTACAACTTTTGTTTTTCAATCTCAATTTCTTCTTGATATGAAATCATGTTTGGTTTTTCTATTGTAGATACACTTTGTTGCTGAATTTGACTGAAGATGGCCATTTGAATGGCCGAAACATGTATTAAACCTTATTGAAACAGGATTGACTGCCTCCTTCGACATTAAAATTGTGGAGACGACTTTGAGTTTTCTTTCTTGATTGAATTATATCTATTGAACACACACGATAAGAATTTGAATACAAAACCTCCTGGAGTTGAGAATTTTGTATTCTCCTTCAGATAACAATATGTATACACATAATATCATTCTGAATATTCAACAAAAAACAACAACTTTCATGGCTATTTTCCACGTCGAACATTGAATTATATCTGTTGAACATCCAAAAGGAGATCATGAGAAATAAAAATCCTCTGAAATTGAGAATGGACATTTTTAAATCGAATGAATACTATGTGATTATATTATAAAAATATAATTTACCAATATGTTCGGTATTGAAATGAAAGTTGAAAAGTATAGGAGAAGTATACCTGCATGTTCATAGATATCAATTTTTCCATGTTCACAATTTATCTGAGAATATTCATTTTCAATATTTCCACCCAATCAAGGGGTAAGAACTTAAACGATGAAAACTCGTTATTTTCATAAACCTCCAATCGCAGACTCGTGATTGGGTTTTCTCAATTGAGAATTTCTTACCACGTTCTGTATGATGAATATCAATTGAAGACTGGGAGTATTGCAATTATGAAACCAGTGTCAATTATGATTATACGATATACTTTAGTCAAAAAATCGCTCGAAAGAACTAACTGAGTCTCACAGTCTTTATAATGGAGATACAGGGTGAATTATCGGTTTTGAATAATTATTCACTTGTACTTGGGACGATGGATTCATTAACCTATCAGGCGGAATGGAAATAATACCAAATAATTATAATTCGATAACTCACCCTGTATCTCTGTTATATAGACTATGAGACTTTTCCTGAAGCTAAACCTGTATTTCCATTCTGCCTGATAGGTCAATGAATCCATCGTCCCAAGTAAGCTCAATACCAAATTTGAGAAAATATTACTGCGATGGGTAGTTTAATACTTATGGACGAGTAAATAATTATTCGATACCGATAATTCACTCTGTATCTCCGTTATAAAGACTGTGAGACTTAGTAAGTTCTTTCGAACGATCATTTAAAAGGATATATCAAATAATCATAATTAAAAGTGGTTTCAAAAGGTTGACACTCTTCAAATTGACATACTTTTAGCTTCCTGTTTATGATTGTTACGATGAGAATTGGTGGCGGGAAAACAAAAAGCATCAAATCCAGTTCAGTTTTTCCTCCTCTTCAAAGTGTCGTCTTCAAAAATGGAATTGACCAGTGTTTTCGATTTTTCATCTTATTTACTGGAAGAAGGTTAATATCTTAGGTAGGAAGTTTTTCAATTGACACGGCATTTTTGGGAAACTTCTGAACAGAAAACGATAAAAAGGTACCGTTGAAAATAAAATTGGACGCCTCCCAAAATGTTGTGCCATTTGACCCCCCTTAAAATTTAAGCTAAGAGTAACATCTACCATACCTAGGGAATTGAACCAAGAGGGCAAAAAATATTGAATGCGCTCTCTCCTACCACAATAATTCTAAAAAAATTTCCTTCTCACCCCGTATAACAAAAATGTGGTCGTTTTCATTGGAGCAACGTGTATGTACAGGATGATTCACCATAAATGTCCCCATCTAGCTCAGTTATTTTTTGATCAATCGCAAAATTCGAGGCACCATTCGAAATAATTTTTGATGAAGTTTTTTTCCGCTACATATGAAAATACAGGGTGCTCGGAACAAACGATCTACAGGGTACTAGTTGATTTTTTGAAATGAAACACCCTGTATTCAATTTTCTAGATTCTCCCTGAAGAGCTGATCTCATCAATGTATCACACTAGGAGTCTAGCGTGAACGATTACAGAGATATAGGGTGTTCAAAATCGAGATTTTAACTCAAGGATTTTTTTGTGTCGAAGCTATTCATTGAACCACCCTGTAGTGTTCCGAATAAATGTCAATAGATAGTAAATCAAAAGTTGTGATAGGGACATATGAATCGTTTTGACCAATAATGAATAGTTTGGATACAAAGTTGAAAAATCTCGAGGTATAGGGTGTATACCTCTGTAATTATTCCCGCTAGACCCCAAGTGTGATGCATTGATGAAATCATCTCTTCAGGGAGAATATAGAGATGAAATTAAATACAGGGTGTCCCATTTCAAAAAAATTAACTAAATAGTACCCTGTAGATCGTTTGTTCCAAGCAGCCTGTATTTTCTGATGTAGCGGAAAAAACTTGAAAAATCATTTCAAATGATCTCTTGAATTTTGCGATCGGTTCAAAAATAACTGAGCTAGAGGGGGGAACATTTATGGTGAATCACCCTGTGCAATGATTTTTTTGGCGAATGAATCTTCCATCATTGAATGCACTCAATGATATCACAATTTATGTTTTCAAATAACAAAGGTACTAAAATAACCATGATTAATTGAATAATTTGCGTTGTCATTTGGATGATTCTGTATTGCGCAGGCGATTGTTTTTCAAAACACATACTTATTAGAAAGTCATTTCGAGTTTATTATTTATTCATGATCTATATTTGTACTTCCATTTTTCATTTGTTTTCTTATTTCATATCATCACACATCACAGCAATCCTGCCAAACTTCTCTGACGGTAGAAGTCCGTCATGAAACCAAGGGAATCTCTTGGAGTTCTCGTTCTTTTCGGGTCATCGAAGTCCACTCTGTACAACCCCATCTTGGGCCTGAAAGACAAATTTTGATACATACAGGGTGTCCGGAAAGTTCATGTCGTGAATGATAGGGCTGATAGAGCTTCGTTACGGAGTTAATGACCTTGGAATTTCATGTATAACTTTCAGAAGGTTGCTATAATACTTATCAATGATATTCAGGCTGGGATTATGTTTTATACAGGATGGAACATCCCAGTTAACACAGGATATCTTATGGATGTCCATTTCAAGTCCTATTTAAGGCGGGATATCCGTGGACATAAAATGTATATCCATAAGATATCCGATTGCGGATGTACTTGAGATATCCTAAACAATCGTCCTAAATACCTCCATAGGATATCTACCTAGAAATTTCAAATCAAGTATATATACAATGAATGAAATGATAAATAAATAAAAGGAGATCCACAAAAGTAACACTTGTGCGTGGAAGATTATTATTAATTCGGTTTTCAAAAACAGCGCGAGGTGGCGTAACGTCTCAAATAGTCCAAGATTGGTAGAACTGATGACTATTTATAGATCATCGATTCTACCAACCTTGAAATAGTCAAATAATGTCAATCTGTTCTCATATTCAATTAATTTGAAGTGAATTTGGAAGTGATTCCTACGAATTCGTCCAAAATTGATGATTGAGAGGAACTGACAACTACATTATTCGAACGCAGTGAGACGTGAGTGCTTCCCAATTATTATGATTTTTTTCTATATATAGGGTATACTATCTCTAATCCATATCCATAGTTGATATCTTATGAATATCCATAATGAAAATCTTTGAGAAATCCAAAAAGGTCACAATGTCACAGCCTATGGACGTCCATAAGATATACCAGAACCTCTTTCGAATATCTTATGGACATCCACGATATTCATGATGGATATCCATGAGATGTATTTGTGCTGTCTGGGAAGGGACGATGATGATCATCATCACATGTTATCTCGAGTTCAACGCAGACAAATTTGGAAAATGCGTTGGAGTTCAAGATGCACATATCGAGTACCATTTTTGATAATCTTTTTGTCTTCACTGATGTCATTAAATAGGTAAATGGAGCTTGTATTACATCTGAAACGGTTGGAAATGTATGTGTTTAAATGAGATATTTTTCGAACGATACAAGATATCGATTGAAATAGATATACTATTTTTGTAGATGAACAATGAAGGAATCTGTATAAAACATATCCACTGAAAAGCTGTTTACATAATATGGAAAGGAGCATTAGTATTATTTTATTCAATGATGTCATACGCTTATTCATATTCTGAACGTACTTTTAATCAAAACGTTCAAATGCAGTTACACAATATACAGATCAATTAGTTCCTGATGACATAAGTGTCAAATTGACTGTTGTATTATGATCACAACTCAATGAACACGAGCACAAACGACGTGGACAAGAGTTACACTTGCTCTTAATTCGGCTGCCTGCCAAACACTGTATGAGCCAGTCTTCACACATGTCTGTCATAGGCTCTGATCTAAGCACATTCCACTGATCAGTAGCGCATCTAGTTGCTAGTCGCTAACATTGACTTTTGTTCAAATGTTGTCAATTGTCCATGGCATCCTATACTTTTGTAACGATTTGGATCGAGTGATAGACCGCCTGAAGCACAATTTCAAGAATGATGCTTCAAAAGAATTCGTTCGTTGATAAAATCATATATATATATCATGGGAGCAAAGGTTCATTTCCTCCCATGTGTGTTTAATGTCCTCAGCAACGCGTCGTGCATCAAACTTCACACGCGTGAGGAAATGGATACCTTTCCTCCCTTGATATATAAATAGCTATTACCTACCTGCCCGAATGTCATTTATACCATGGCAACCGTTTGAAAGCTATACATGATTTTTTTTGTTCTAACTCTCAAAGTCAATAACTCCGTGTCGAATCGCGATAGACAATTTTTTTATATGAAGTAATAACATAGCTTTGGCTCAGCCCTATCATTTACTACCACATCTTTCCAGACACCTTGTATATGATTAACTCTTTTCCGCCATATATGACATAAATTTGGTCCACTTGGATTTGTTTGGATATTTACTATTACTGTGTAATACTTACTTGTAGCCAGAAACCCATTCGAAATCGTCCATGAGAGTCCAAACTGTGTAACCTGCTATTTTCACTTTATCCTCGTTGATAGCTTTCCAAAGAACAGGCAGGACAGTCTAAAAAACACTTTGATTTCACAGACAATAATTCAACCTAATCTAATCCAACCATAAGTCTTAACCTCAAATGACTTTAGAATTGACGAACTGACATAATCTAACCAGACGTATTCAACGAATAATTGTTCAATGATCTGGGTTCTGTGATAACGAAATTGATCAATAATTTTCTCACCTGGAAATAATAGATACGATCTTCATCATTCAAACTAGAATTTTGATTTGCATATCCTTGTTCTGTGATGAATATTTTCGGATTCTTGTAGTTCTTCTTAACCCACGTCAATATTTTTCTGAAACCTGTCGCATATATCTGGAACAAAAAATAATGTCACAAGTAATAGGTGGCTTATAAGTTGACTGGTGTACCGACTCTTCAATCTTCCCAAGTAATCATCCCCTGATGTTAATACAAATGAATGTTCACTATCATTCCCTTGGGCAACTGTTCTTTCTATTCTGAAGAATCTCTATCAAACTATCAAACATGAGCATTCACAGCTTTGCATGAAGGAAAGTAATTTTTCTACAAGCGTGCGTGATTCACCCTATACCCGCACGCAATTTAGTTTGGGAAGTGTCATTTTCCCGCAACAGTGCGGGAAAATTTTCCCACACTAGTGCGGGAAATCAAAGATATGAAAAAATCGCTAATAATATAAGTGGTTCGTGATGGAATATAAAAGTTTAAGTTTGTTTGTTGCAGTATTAGGTATGTATGTTCAAAATCATCCATCAAATGGCACTATCTATTGTGAAAATCAAGAAATATTGAGAAATAATAATTCATTATTATAAAAATCCCTCTATAGATTTCGATTGATCTGATGGGAAACGATTATTGTTGTCATGCCAATCAAACCTCAAATGAGTATGAAACTGTCGAAGTGACAGAAACAGCGTTACTGTCATTTTAGATTCAGGGAAAATGCCACAATGTGATCAAAAACTATTCGATACAGATGCGTTATTACCAACGAAGTCTTAAGAAAGGTATGAGAAGCTATACACGCCTTTTCTTGAATGGTGCAACAATAAAGAAATGAAACTACCGAATGAAGAATAGGTATTTTTGACTCATTTCATAGAAGTGTCTGAAACCAAGAGACCAAACTCCGAAGGGCCTGCTGGCTTCCGCAATGAACCAACATGATGCGTCAAACTGTAAGTTCACAATAACTATTACTAATAATTAGTAGATAGAGAATATACTCATCTTGTTAGTTGTCCCTATTTGTATGAATGATTAATTGAACGAATCAATCAATTCCCTACGCTCGTAGAAAAAATATTGTTCCTAACTCATGCGAAAAGGGTCTTTCCCGCACGCGACTGTCGTTGACACGAACGACGCGAAGCGGAGTTCGGGCAAGCAAAAATCACTTTCCGCACTTGTTAGGAAAATTACTATTCCGTTCCGAGAATATAGTCCTAGAACTTAGAGTTGGGAGTACCTAGAGACAAATATAGTCGAAGAGATTTGGACTGGTGGTGAGAACTAAAACTGATGCTGTAGACAAAGGCAACGTGATTTTTAGTGTGATAACTAATTTTCACAAGTTGCATATCCTCATGTTGAAATGGGTACTACACCACAAGAGGCAAGATCTTAAGATTAGAAATGGAGACTAACGGTAACTAGATACTAGACCTACAGCTAGTGATTAGAAATAAAAACTACACCTTTTCCATTTGTATTTCAGAAAGCGTCAATTCAATTTCGGAAAGTGTCAATTGAAACTTTGAAAATAGAATAGCTCTAAAACGTAGAACCACCAATACAAGATTGGAATTCGAAATTGGAACCACACCTCTTAGAGTTGTATTTCAGAAAATGTCAATTGTATTCCAGAATACTCACTTGTATTTCAGGAATCATAGCCGAAAGACTAGGGCTAGAAACTAAAACTAGAGACTCGAACTAGATACTGGAAATTAGAGTCTAGAAAATTCATATCAGGAATTGAAGACTAGAATAGACACTATAGGGAAACTGTATTGTCAAAAGTAGTACATTCATTCGTCGCTCACCTGGATCTTCTGGGTATAGTTCTTGTTCCAATCGGGGTCCTCGTACACAGTGGCGCCCCCATCATTCTCATAGCTCGGCGTCTTATCGACCTCCTTGCCGAGCGACTGCACCAGAAACGAGATGTAGTTGTTGACGCCGATGAAGTCGTAGGAGCCGGCCAATCGGGAGCGTTCACGCCACGTGAATCTCGGCAGGCGGGATTGCGGGAAGCCTTGCTCGGCGCTGTAGCGTGCGATGGTGTCGATCATGGAGGGGGGATAGTTGCCGTAGACGACGGGGGTGGGCGAACCAGCCGAACTAAGAGGGGGTGGAATGCTCATATTCACATGTTTCGATATTGTATACAGATTGAAGAAGGAATAAATCTGTAAGTCATATCTACGACATTGAATCGGTTAACATTCCAGTATGAATGAAAACATAACTTAAACATGAATTTGACATTACATTGTTACCTTGTGATATTATTCAGAGAGATGCCTAATGTCACAGATGAGTTGCGGCAATGAGCCATTGTGCCTCTATTAAATATAACAATGTTATGTTGATGGTAAATATTATATAAAATTATCATGAATTACAAAAAATCAATGTTACCTAAACATCTAGATATTATTGAATATTAACATTCTAGTTATTTTTCAGGAGTTTTTTGGTTATGTCATTTTTTTGGAATCATCAAGCTAATCCTTCGAATGATCTTAAGAAAAGACAGAGAAAATTATCTATCCCTGAATATAACCGTGTTGATGAATTGATCTTCCGTACTCCTGAAAGACTATAAGTATGATCCAGTTACACAGTGATATTTTGAGACAGGATAACTACTATTTTTAGTATCATTTCAGTTATTCTGATTCATAAATCCAGTAATACCTAGCTCAGGTATATGAATACTTACTGCACTTTTTCTTGAATTCTGAAAAATGATAGGTGAATATATATAGGAGTTTTTGGAAGTTTCCTGATTGATTCTGAAATTCTATTCTGACTATGTACTGCTTCTAGCAATGATATATAACTCACCCATTATTTTTGTAATTTGTGAAATATGAAAACCATCCGTATTCACGAATCCCTCCCACTTTTTCACGTATTATGGGATACAGATACAGATTGGTTATATTTCTATATTCCAGCATAGCAAACCTGAAATCTGAGTAGGTTTCATGGGCAATACTTTTTTTATTCAAATTTTTTACAGTCCAAGACTTGTT